AAATTGAACAGAATAAAGGTACAAGGACTAAATTGAACAAAACATTATAGTACATGGACTTCATAGGTACTTTGACCAAAGATTTTGCGTAAAAAAATTGAATAAAATTGATTTTTGATAATTTAACCGTATTTTACTATTAATCTTTAAGGAAATTAAAATTGTGCGTAAAAAAAATGTAATAGAATCAATTATTAATAATTTTAATTTAAATTAAAGTACATATATTTTCCTATCCGTAATACAATTTTACTTATTATTTTATAAATTTTTTAAATAATAATTGATAATATTATTGTTCAAGTATAATAAAAATTATAATTTTAATTGGTAATCTATATTCTATATCTCTCTATCTCCATCTCTCTCTCTCTCTCTCTCTCTCTCTCTCTATATATATATATATATATATATATATATATATATATATATATATATATATATAAAGTAAAATCCTCCTACATTATTTTTTCCGTTCATACTTTTGTACTAAATTAATTAAATATTATATATTTTTTGGTCAAATAATTAATAAATCTTATTTGGTAAGCAAATACTTAATGGTAAGTATTGGGCGGTGATTTTAGACAGATTCTTCCAGTTATTCCAAAAGCAACGAGACCAATGATTGTGGGAACCACTATTAATTCTTCATACCTCTGGAGGAATTGCAAGGTATTGAGGCTCATGAAAAACTACAAAGCTTAGCTTCAAACGAAGATAGACATACGGTTAATTGGTTCTCAAGATGGATTGTAGACATCGTTGATGGGATTACAGGGTTTGTAAACAATGGTTTGTTTGAGATCGATATTCCACCAAGGTTTATGTTGAAGTGTGGACCTGATCTAATTTTAACTATAGTTGAAAGCATCTTCCCAACCGCAAAGTATGAAATGCTAGAAGAGTCACACCTAGAAGGACGAGCGATCCTCTCACTGACTTTAGATGTTGTTGATCAAATTAATCAGTATATGTGTGACATGAACATTGCAGAAGGTCGGACGTATTTAAGATGTGACTCTTTGTGTAAGGCAGAATCAGATGGTGATAATCTCTCACAAGTACACACTCTTGAATTTTTAAATAGCTTGAGATTGTCTGGACTTCCTAATCATTTATTGACAATAAAGGTTGGTGCACCTGTTATGTTACTGCGAAACATAGACCACTCTCTTGGTCTTTGCAACGGTACGCGCCTCATCGTTACAAGATTGGCGGATCATATTGTCGAAGCAAGAATAGTTAATGGAACGCAGCAAGGAAACAAAGTTCTTATACCACGAATGTCTCTCATCCCTTCTGATACGAGATTGTCGTTAAAGTTCCAGCTTAAACAATTCGCGGTGATGCTAGCATATGCAATGACTATCAACAAAAGTCAGGGTCAAACACTAACTCACATTGGCTTATTGTTGAAAAAAATAGTCTTTAATCACAGTCAATTTATGTGGCTTTTTCCCGAGTCACTCATCCTGATGGCCTAAAGGTTTTAGCTCTAGACGAGGATGGACAAACTTCTGTTACTACTACTAATGTCATCTACAAAGAGGTTTTCAACAGTGTCTAATTCAAAACAGTTATATTATGTATTCTTGAGGGTTGCAAAACTCGGCCCCGAGCCTTGCCGTTTTGGCCTAAAGGCGGCCAAAACTCGGCCGGCCGCCTGGGCGGCCAAACTCGGCCGAGTCGACCAATTTCGTCCGATTTTGACCGATGTCGTCTTTCATTAATTATTGATTTTAATATTATTATGACGTTATGACTTATAAATTATCATTATTTCATTTATTTAGATGTGTTATTTGATTGAATGTTGAAAACAACCTCATTAAAATTGTCAAACTACAAGCCTGTCACTATTTTAAAAAAAAATTTTTGGTGCCCACCTAGCGCCGCCTAGATTCCGCCTAGGCGCTAGGCGCTGCTCGGCCGCCCGACTAGCGCTTAGCGCCTACTGCAACCATGGTATTCTTCTTGCACAAATATAACAAAATAGTTACATATCTACATATTACGTATATATTCCGTTACAAAAATTTCTATAGCTAATAAATTACTACACATAAAGATAATGAGACCAATTAATTCAATTATGAAACATTCATACAAACCTTAATTCAATGTTAAAATTTACACTATCGAATATGAAGCAAATTATAATTCATATATTATAACGAATACATTCGGTGCATGACACGAGTGCAAATACTAGTTACCAATAAAAAAAGAGGACATGTACTGAAAGAAGACAATGATAATGCTACCCAAAAGAGAATTAAGAAGAATTAGAGAAATTTAAACAAAAAGTAGTATTTATTTAGACTATCGTTTTTAGACTAAGTATTTAGACTAACGTTGTTACAAAGTTTGCAAACATTTATTTTAGTGAATAAAATTAAATCTCATATATTATCTTGCATTTATATACTTTAGATTACCAATTTAAATAAACAAATTCAATATTTATTTAACTAATGCATGAACATCTCCTATATAATATTGCATTGATATTTTGAAATACTTATTTAAAAATAATCATTGTGCAAAACAACTAGTAAATGCATATGAGCCCACCAATACGTTTATCTCTCAAGTGGTTCAAGGGAGCAGCAGTGATCTGATTCATATCCAAATTCACACAAAATTTGCTTTCACTCCCACAGTCTCACAAAACAATGGGCTTTAAGCCTTTAATCATTCCCGCGAGGATCTAGAATGGCGTAGCAGGTTCCTTGAAGAATCGTTTTACGTGCCCCTGAAGAACAGCTCATTGGAGTTTGGAGACAAAAAGGTGGGGTCCAACTCATTTGTTTGAGCAAACAATGGGGCCCCCCAACTGGTTTAGTAAATTAAGTAAAGAATCAGCATTCCATTTCATATCTATCCGGTTTCAAGATAAAGATTGCGCTAATCCTTTTTCTGATTATAGTATTAGCCTCTGATAATTGAAGAGCCCAGAAGAGAGGAAGAATGGATGCGCACGAACAGCAGAGTAAATCGAGGGTTGTGAAGGTGGATTCAATGCAGTCCTGGGAATTCCACCTAAACCAGGCCTGCAATCATGGCTGCCCAGTAAGTATAAAATCTTGATTTTCAGCTTTCACTGGAAGATCCGAAAATGGTTTCATTACTTACTGGTGAAAAGATTGTGTCTTGGTTGAAATTCTGACTGCCCATAGTGTCTAACATGGTTTACTCGTTTGTTATCCGTCAAGTTTAAGATAAAGATGTGATCTTGTGCAATGTTTTTTAGGTTTTTGGTTCTTATTATATATTTCCTGTTGCTCTCTGGGGATGTTTGTAGGTTGTGGCACACTTTACTGCTATTTGGTGCATTCCATCTGTGGCAATGAACCCCTTTGTTGAGGAGATGGCTTCAGCTCATGAAAATGTAGTGTTTCTCACAGTGGATGTGGATGATGTCAAGGTAATCCTTTTCTTTAATTTGCTGGCTGTAATATGCTTTAATTTAAGGATGTTTTTTGGTGTATGGCTATGGAATTGTTGCTTAGCTTAAGGATGTTTTACATGCTTAAGGTGGAGAAGATTATCTGTTGAACATAGTTATCTGGGGAAGCTGCTTTAGTGCTTTACCATTTATCATTTGAACATAGTCATCTTCTAATAAGCCTTAAAGCTCATGCTTGATTTAGTTGTTGGGCATTTCCTTGCCCCTCAAAAGGGGAAATCCCTTCCGGCCCCCACACCCTGTTCCGACTGGATTCTGGAGGGGTAAATTACGGGCCTCTAAGTCACTTCACCCCCTTAAACGTGATCAATCAACATTTACAAGCTAAGTCAGACGCGATTTGTGTGAAAATGCAACTTCTCCTAATATTTTCAAATGTTACTCTTAACAACTACTTTGAATTAAGTTGTCATCACTAATAAAAACCGGGAACAAGATGATTGGGAAGATGCTGAACTCGATCTTAGCACATGAATATGAGAGAGGAGAAAATGCAGATCGAGCTGAATTGCATATCTCCTTCTCCCTCCTAATCATGGCTCGATCTTGCTGTTCTTTTTATGGAAAACTGGCAAGTGTTCCTAGATCATACTAGATTTCCTTAATTGGCAAATAATATGTGTAATAGCTAAACATGGCATTTACAGGAGGTGGCAGCAAAATATGAGGTGAAAGCTATGCCAACATTTCTGTTGCTCAAGGATGGGGCTCCCATCGACAAGCTAGTCGGCGCCAACCCAGAGGAGATTCGGAAAAGGGTCGAGGGCCTTGCTCAATCGCACCCAATACCCATCGTCTAGTAAAAATGCAACTCGATCTGATCTGCTCAAACAATGTTTTCTGCATATATTTGCCCTGGCCTGTGTAGCTTGTGATGTGTTCTGCTTCAACTGTAGATATTACCATCTTCAACTTTAGATCATAGATGTGCAATGTCTGTCACCTCTCTTGATCTTTCTTAAAGGCACCTTGTTTCCAGAATAGTTGCTCTTTATCATTCTTGTCCATGTTTTTGGTTTTCCAGTGCATGAATCATATGGTAAATTGTTTTTGGTTTTCCAGTGCATGAATCATATGGTAAATTGTTTTGGTTTTAGATTTTTTGGATGACGAGGAAATTTAGCTACTACTCGAGAGCGTATATTAAGTAAATTTTACTCTTGCTTAATAATCCACCCTTGATATTTACTCGGTCACTCCTTTTAGGTTAGGACTCGATTGAGAATACATTAACAAGAATTAAGTTCATGATTTGGTGTTTACTCGGTCACCCTTTTAGGGTTAGGGCTCGACTGAAAATACATTAACAAGAATTGAACTTGTGATTTTTTAATACGAGAATCATGCTCTATTTGTTCAATTCGATAGAAAATATGAAATACAATTAAAATTAGAAAGTATGAAATACAATTATTACATCAAAGATATAGAATAAAATGACTAAACGAGAATATATGACGACAATAAATAATTATAATTATAATTATTATTATTTTTGGAATAATAATAATAATAATTATTATTATTAGTCCGCGAAGCTAAGGACCGTTATACAGTCGTTTGGGTGACATCAGCACCGTTGTTTGTTAACGTCAGCGTTTGGGTTGAGTCTATCCGCCCGCCACAGAATCCTCATTTGCCACTCCTTTTTGGTATCAACGAAAAACAATTTTATTTCCCGTCGATTAATAATTTTCTTTTCTTGTCCGCGAAGTCTGAACACCTTCACCAAAATTCCCGGCGGGCTACTCTCGGCGGCGCTCCTTTCTGCTCCGGCAGAAAGAATGGCAGCTCCGGAGGTGGATGGCTCCAACTGGCTCCTGGATCTTGGGTTCGAAGACATTCCCTTACCTGGCGGGAAATTCCCTCCTCTTGAGCCGGGATATCAGTGGCATTCTAGTGCCATCCTCTCTCCAGCCCCTCCCAGGTCTCTCTGTTATTAACTCCTCCACTCATTTCAAGATTTCACTAAATTCCAGTCATGGGATTTGATATAAGATGCTATGATTATGAAAGTTGACACCTTTAAGGCTAAATTGGCAGACTCTCTTTTTTCTGTTTCAAAAAGAAGAAAAAAAGATTGCTTTTTTGCCTGAGTGTTGAAGAAAAAAAGATTGTTTTTTTTGTGTTGATATGATAATCTAAGTGTGTTGAATAACATTCCAAATGAAACAAGTGCCTTTGTTGGTTGAGTTAATGAGCATCTATCTAAGGTCTTTTGTTGTATGCTCAAATGTGTTGCCGGCTCAACATTGTTGTGCTGTGGCTGATTTTTGTACTTTGTTGCCTTGTTGGTATTTGCCTTTATATAGTCTCAAAATCCTATTATACTGAGTAGAGTATGGGTTTTGTGTTAATCTCTCAATTAGAGCAGTTGATTCAATCTAGTGTTTGAAGATCCTTAAGCCAAATAAGCAGCGCTGAAAGCTCTGCCTATTGAAGAATTTATGATGTTTATATGTTTTGACGTTACGACTTGGCTGGCAATTGACCATAAGCCAAAGAAGCATCTGCTTAACTTTTCCCTTTCATTTTGTTTGTTAGAGAATAATGATGGCCTGACTATGTTTCATCAAGAAAAGTTAACTTCTCATAATTAGTGAATTCTGATATCCTTTTGTTATGTTGTAGCATTCGACAAGATGAGTCATATGTAAAATTTGATGTTTCAAACGGATGCAGCGCCAGAAAGAGGTTAGCATGTGTGCGATTGCTTTGGATTTACTATCTGGTTTAGTGTAGTGCATCAAAATATCAAGTTCGTTTCCTAGATTTCCCAACCGCTTTAATTTGCTATTCTTTAGCATGGAAATCTTGATATTGTCTTTTACTTTTCAGGATGAAATCTGGGGCTTGCAGTGGAGCTGCTGATTCTAAAGCACAGAGGGAGAAAATGCGAAGATATAGGCTGAATGACCGGTACGCTCTACTCTCTCTGTGGAAATTGATTGCTCATATTCATATATGCCTAGACTTGTAAAAAAAAATTGTATTTAACATTTATACTAGTGCTTGGATCGCTATTCATTAGTTGATATTTGTGAACATGGATTTGTTTCAAGGTTCCAAGAATTGAGTTGTGTGATGGACCCTGGAAAGCCACCCAAAATGGATAAATCGGCCATATTGAGCGATGCTGTTAGAATGGTACTTCAGCTAAGGGATGAAGCTCAGAAGCTGAAAGAATCGTTTGAGGATTTACAGGAGCAGGTTAATGAGTTAAAGGTTTGTATTTTATCAACAAAAACTTCACATTTTTGCGTTATCTGGTATGCCTGCACACTTCCATTTCTTTTCTTCAATGGTCACTCTGGCTCATACAGGCCGAGAAAAATGAACTTAAGGACGAGAAGCAAAAGCTAAAAGAAGAGAAGGACAAACTCGAGCTGCAACTGAAAGCTCTCAACTCTCGTCCTGGGTTTTTACCTCACCCGCCTGCAACTGCTGTTCCATTCCCCACGCCTCATCATCTTGTAGGCGGCAAGCTGGTGCCTTTCGTTGGCTACCCTGGAATCCCGATGTGGCAGTTTGCAGCTCCTGCTGTTATTGACACACCAGAAGACCATTCTCTTCCCCCAGTTGCTTAAGTTTTATTCTGTTTCTTGTTTTTCGAATTTTGTGTTTCTTTTAGGTACAAGGAAACTGGCACTTCTTGTGAACCTAGTTACATAGAGTATCTAGTTATAACTTGATTCTCAAGTTTTGATCAAAATATGAAATTTGTGCAGTGGCTCACTTCAACAGGGTGGCTTGAACCCCATATATCTCCCACTTTCATAATCTTTCCAGGCATCAACAGCTCCAAAACTTGTTATCAGAACAGTGCTCAAAGCCATGACGGTTCCAACAGAGAACACGATGAGGGATGCTCTCCCGTGCTTCTCTATCGCTCGCTGTACTACCACCAGTCCAAGAAGCGAGGCAGCCAAACAAATGGCCGCGAAGATCATGGCGCTTTCTGTGTGCTCCATTCCCAGTAGCAGATACTGCACTGCTGACATAGTAGAGGAGAACAAAACCATGAATGAGCAGGTTGCTGCTGTAATCTGCAGAAAAAGAAAGTGATCACTGAGCTAATAGTTGGACTGTACATTTATATTTATATTATATGTTCAACACGCCTCCTCACGTGTGCAGGCCAATTACATGCCAAATTGAAACGTGTGCTCCGTTTCAACTAAAAGTCTAAGCTGATAGTTGGACTACATGTTTATATATTATATGCTCAACTGAGAGAAAAATGGCAGTTCTGTAATTGAAGAGGAAGGGGAAAGTTACTTGAGGTGGTAATCCAACTTGTATGAGAAGTGGACTAATGAGCATTCCACCACCAATTCCAAATACTCCACCCAGAAACCCTGCCAAGAGTGCCATTACTGGGAAAATGAACTTGTTTGGTAGTCCTCTGGTTTCTTCTTCTTCCTACATCAAAGTGAAGAGATTGATGATGGGAAATTGGTAAAAAATACTACTGCATAATTTAAAGGAACAAAAATGGTTTCTTTTACCCCACTCTGGCATCTTTCCTTGCTAAACAAGATCCATGCTGTAAAACTTACAGCAAGAGGTATCTGAATTGATGAGATGATCCAATACCCCACTCCACAGGCTTCTATCTCAACAATTCCCTGCAATTAAAGAACTCGAAAGCTTAAATTTTTCTTGCAGAAACTGGAAAATAGAGTGGAGAACACAAAGATACATACATGCCCAGACTGGTTTCCACGAAAAAGATACAGCAGAAAGAAGCATAGCCAGATGATAAGCAGCATTCCAAGCTTCATCCACGCGATCTCCCCTCTCAAGAAAGCCTGTTCTGCCCCTTCAGTTCCACGACAATTCTGTTTATCAAGCATTCCAGTCTCCATTTCTGAGCAGCCATCGTTTCTCGTCTCCAGCTTCCAGTACAGAATCCCTGACCTAAAGGTGCTGAAAGTGCACCAGACTAGAAAAACAGCAAACAGGATTGTGATGAGCCATTCTGGGAACACCACATTGCAGATCACTCCGACACTCACCCCCAACAACATGGATGGCTCCGACAACAATGCTATGTCAAAGTCCACCAAGATCCTGCCTCCATGTTTGGGACTAGGCATGAACATGTTACAAACAACATTGGCGATTATGCCTCCTGTCACCATAAATGCTGAGAAGCTTGAGGCTGTTTTCAGCTCCAAACCCGCAACTATGGTCAGAATCGGGATGTATAAACCCCCACCCCCAATCCCACCAGCACTCGAAATCGTGGCAGCTATGAAACACAGCACTCCAGCTACCAAAACAGGACCTTCAAGCTTCAGATTCCCATCTCCGGATCTCCATTGATAAACTGAATCCAAGAACTGATGAGGCTTTGCTTCATCTGCTTTTGAAAATTTGCACAAACCCAGAACAATTATACAAACCAGCCAATATTCAAGGCTATTGAACCTATGCATTTTCTTGAAAAAGAAAAAGGAAAAAACTTTGCAGGCCTGGGAAATAAGGGAAGAGATATCAGAATCTACCAAGAATTGCCACCCTTATTACTACTAGCTAGTTTTGCTTTAAGATATGATAGTATGATACAACAGGTTCAATGAATGGGCTAATTACAATCTCTATAAAGAAGCATATATACAAAGAGGACAAAATGACAATTATCTTCCATAAAAAGAAGCATACAAGGTCAATATGGAAGTAAAGGTGTAATAAAAACATTTACTAACAAATCAACCCCCATCAAGTCAGACAGCACATCACCATCAAAACCAAAACTTTCTGTCATCATTCAAATTCAAAATGATAATTTCCCATCACCAAACCATCATAAATACAATCATTTATGAAGGGGGAGGGTGGAGAATACACGTCTACTAAAAACCAAAACCTTTTCTTGTTATGCTAGAAACACAAATTCTTGTATTCTTGTACATATATAGTGAAGTAGCTAGACTTTAGCCAATATACAAAATATTTTGAATTGCTACTTAGCTTGTAATAGTGTTGTGGGCAAAAACAAATGGGCATGCCAGGGAATCTTGATATTAACAATGAAGAAGATGACAAGGACAACTCGATAAGCATTGACTCAGATTGACACGGCAGATCTGGAACTGTGGATGCATTTGGATTATATCTGCATGGGAGCTTCAAATATTTAAAAGCCTACTATTAGCAGGTAAGATGCGGAGTATTTAGCTTGAACATCAGTGCCCTTTGTCGTCTATGTTGTCCTCAGTTTTTCCTATAAATTAAACTTCCACTAATATAATCTACAGTATTTATTTCCTTTGGCCAAACTACATTCTGACCCATGAAAATAAAACAGAAAAGGCGCAAACAAGAATGAGAAAGGCTTCGAATATTTTAAGATTAGTAGTAAAGTATATATACTACTTTGTACATGGCATCTGTTATATGATTCAACTTTATAAATTCTGGATGCTGGGAATCCTACATTCTCAAGTTATTTTCTCAAATCTCAACCGTTTTTCTTTTTGGGTTCTCCGAATAGAGTTGATAGCGATCAGTACGCGTCCTATGGCGCTTTGTAGATTCTTGAAGCCGATTTGGTCCCAACAGGGTTCCTAATATTCTTTTAGTATTATTTCATACGCAAGCAAAACAGAACAACCATGTGGCTGTAGTTTAGTGGTAAGAATTTCACGTTGTGGCCGTGGAGACCTGGGCTCGAATCCCAGCAGCCACAATTTTTGAGCCTCAACCCTTCCTTCTGGTTTTAGAAGCAGCCCAATCTTTTAAGGCAAACATCATCGATCTCTTCATCCAAGTTATTCTTTGCTTCAAGTCTTCAACTCTGTCATCTTGCCTTCTGCAACGTGGTATGGCTAAAAGGAAATTGGGTTTGAGACATTAAGAATATGCTGGCCTAGAAAACAACATAGACCAAAACGAAGCAATATATATATATATAGGTCCAAGTGACATGACTTCTTCAAAGGTTCATTCCATCTCTAAGAATGATAATGGTAAATTAACTATTTTCTATATTTGGTGGTAAGATAATTGTAGTAGCTAGATCAGAACTCGTTAACTTGTAAATGTATGATACTTTGATTGTAAGTTAACTCTAGTAGAACTCTTTATTTAATTTGTATATATTTAGTCTTCTGTCTCTTGAGCAAATACTCACAAGTTAAATTTATTCAATATATTTAGTTCTCGATCCACTATTTCACTCTTAGTAATGGCTCGAATATAATAGCATGGTTGTTGCTTAATAATTGTATATTTAATTACTTTGAATCAATTATTGATAGCATTATAAATATATTGTTTCTTTATGTTATTATCTATATATATTCAACACTCAAACTATCCAATTTGTCACATATAATAACTCTATTAGTGAATCGTGTTAGATCCAGAAACTTAAAACACCAAGATATACAATCCGGCCTTAATCTATACAAATACAATAGAAGTAGCAAGTCATCCTGATTTATCATTTACTATTTTGTTGGACGGTTGGGATGTGGGAATTTTGGATTAAGAAAAAGTTAGTAATCTAACTGAAATAAACCGAGCAAATCTTGTCTTTGTAATTTGGTGCAATCGTGCCATTTTGTCCGATTCCGACAGGGCAATTACTATGCAACCCGTGACGCTTCGTGTTCCACGACGACACCTTGAACCGAATCGTCGTCTTTAATTCCAGCCGGAAAAGCACCAAACCCCGCGATACATCGTTGACGAACTGCTCCCAGTGTTGATTCGTCACGCTCAGCGCAGCTCCGCTCAGGGAACCGGCGACGACCGTCGTGTTCTTCGGCGGCTGGTAGAACGGATTCAGCAGCGAAATGCTTCCGATGCTTTGGTCCTGATACCACAGCGTGATCCGCATGGCGTCGTCGTAGTAAACCCCGATGGCTTGGTTGGAATTCCTCACGGTCACGTTGAAGTTAATCTGGGCGTTTTCGATGCCGGAGCCCTGACCCAGCGCCGGGAGCGAGAAATCCTCGACGCGGATTCTTGGCCGGTGGGGGCGGAGGCTTAGCCATAGAATGAACGTTATGAGGCCGATAATGGCGAGAAGCCCCAAGACGACGGCGCAGATGAGCTTCGACACCCTCGTGGTTAGGCTGTCTTTCACCCGCCGCGCGTAGTGACGGGCGGAGCGGCGGTGTTTCAGATGACGGTCGCTGTCAGCGTCGGCACCGGCGTCTTCCCTGTAAATCGGTAGATGGGTGCTGTAATCCATTTCTCAGGGCGGTGATGGCCGGACGGCAAGGGTTTAGGGTGAACGCGAAACGTAGTACGTGCCATTGTGAACATGATAGATGTACGTATATATGCAAAAGGCATGCAGTGAAAAGGATGAGGTGACCGGGGCATAAAGTAACGTACGTCCTCTACAAAAGAAAAGAATATTAAGCAAGCTATGAACCGCCAATATATATATATATATATATATATATATATATATATATATATATATATAATGAAAAAAAAAATTAGCAAGGCCGAGCTGACCGGGTTAACTCGACCAAAATGAACGAGTTAACTCGGCCGAGTTAGGCGCTAGGCGGATGCCTAGGCAACCGATCATCTAAACAGGCGCCTAGGGGAGAAATTGCTACGGTTTAGCGGCGCTTAGTGCCTATGGAGAAATCACCATGGTCTAGGGCCGCCTAGACCGATTTTTACAAAATAATACTACAAAATTTGTTATAATATAGTATCTATTCATAAATACTTTTTCAACTTACTGAATCACAAAGAGTCAACCACTATTATAAGTTTGATGTTCTTATATGAGACTTTATTCTCATTTGATCCCTCTTCTATGTACATTAAAATTTTAGAATGATGAAAATAGAGAGAAGAAAATATTTTTGGTAACAATGTTTGGGCCTTTACAAGGTTATGGTTTTAAGATTGGGCTACTCAATGAATGAGTACTTGGAGATGTGAAAGTTGAAAACGAAACGGGCCCATTTGACTTCATCAAAGTCAACGCCATATTGCACAAGTTGATCTCGGTAAGATTAGCTTATGTAATGGGAAAACATCATTTTTAGTTTCTTAACTATGGGTTATTTCATATATAATTTTTAATTAATAAAGTGTGTTTTTTAAGACTAGAACAAATTAGCATTTTTGGTGTATAATATCATAGTGGGATATGATATATATATGTATTAGTAGTTGACTAGGAAGTACTATATATATGTGGAGCAAACTTGACATCACAAAGTGCGCAAAACCGGCGGATCAACTAAAGTGCGAAACCATAAACTAAGCTAATTAACATAAGATTATTCTTGTTTTTTGTCGGCCACTTAATTGCCCTAATCAACTTAACTATTATTATTATTATTATAGTAGTTTACAAAATAATAATTACTTTGAACTTAAAACTGAACTGTAATGTATATATTGTGGGATTTAGGTACAGTATTTGGAATTGGATATCACTAGAAACGTCTCATCGTGGTTCATGCCATCAACAAGGGGATTTTGCCTGACAACAATATTAAACATCATTAATTACGTATTTGAGCCTAATAACGTGGGTTTATAGGCTTAATAATTATATATAATTGTCCCGAAAGGAGTAGTCAAGTGGGTGAAACATGATTTTAGTACGTACTTGAAGATCAGATGATTCTTGCCAACATCATCTTGGTCGAATCCATCACACAAGGTCTTTAAGTTCATGAGTTTGATTTTTGCTAGCATCATCTCGATCGAGCCCGTTGCACCAAGTCTTTCTAATGCGGTTTACATCTCCTGTTAGTTTGCGGACTATTACACGGAGTGAGATTTATCTAATGCACACCTTCTGATAATGATATGGTTGTAAATTTTCCTCGTTACCTAAAAAAATTATATATGATTGTTCAGAAAGGAGTAGGCGACTGGGTGACACATAATTATCATCCAAAAGTTTATGATGAGTTCAAATTTTGCCTGCACTCTCTCAGTTGAGGACATCATTACAGTAGGTCTTCCTAATATGATTAATTTATCTCTTCCGTGTAGTTTGCAGGTTATTACACAAAAACATCATAATTTATTCTGTAGACATTCTCGAATAGTGAATTAGTCACTATGAATTATGCTCATAATCCTAAAAAAAATAAAAAATTATATATAATTATTGTTTAAGGTGCAAGATTCAAGATTCATTTGCTCATGGAAGATAAGATCGATGAGCTACCAGTTGACAACTTTGTTATTATAACCCACAAAATATTGATTTGCAAATGGATAAAAAGTCAACGTTACAATAAAACAGCTCATTATGAACATTAAAATTGAAATTAATTTCTCATGAAATTTTTGGCTGATCATACAAATGTTAGGTTGAAAAATTTGTACTTTTATATTTTTTTTTGGGGTAAAGGGTGGGGAAAACCAGCAAGGCTAATCCCGGGTGTTTGTAGTTTCATAACGCACCCAGTTCACACTTAAGAACTCTTTAATGCACTCAGGCGGCCAATTGAATTCAATCCAGTCACACCGAGATCTTGGCGCCATTTGGCAAGCTCGTCCGCAATAGTGTTATTCTCGCGCCGTGTGTGGGAGATGTCTATAGTACACTCTTTCTCAAGCCACTCTTTGCACCATTTAACGATTCATTGTCGGAACTTTATGACATGATTATTGGGAAGAGGGGATCGTGAGGTTATTTTTGAAACCGATTGCTCAAATTTGTTTTATAGTTTCAAGTGCTAGCGTGACGACTTATTTACTTGGATATTGTAGTGCTCAAATGTTTGTCTTTGATGTCTTCATTTACCTTTTGTCAAGTTCGTTTTATTCGCAGCAGGTCTTTGAATGTTGTGGCTCATACTCTTGCCAATTAGTTTGTTGGTCACATCTCCAACACGATCTGTTGGGACAATGTTTCGCTCGATTGTATTCGTTCTCTTATTTAATAATATTCTTTCGTGTTTTTGCCTCAAAAAAAAAATATCAATAGGTATATCAAAAATTTAATTTTAATTCTTTTTTACTTGGCGGATTATTTTGGAAAAAATAATAAATAGAAAAAAAAAAAAAAAAAAAAAAAAAAAACACAAAGCAGCCATGGTTGTTTATTCTTCAGCATAACATGCGATTCGCCTGCCTTTGCGCATCATGTGCATTTCTGTGTTATGGTCAAACTTAAACCCATATCTGCCAACTATTTTCTTTGATTTTACAACAGTATATGCACTCCCATTCTTTTCTGTTTTTATTACATTTCTAATTAATTCGAAATTAAATGTTTATTGTTCAATTTATGAGATTCAAATCCAAGATCTAATTAAGGGTCCTCACACCCCAATTTTGATAGAATATGTGAGATGATGTAAATTATGGTAACTATTTTCTTACGAAATGAAGATATTAATACAACATGCCAAAAAAATGCCCATAATATACCTTGGATCAAAAGATTAATTCCCTAGCTGTGTGTACTTATTTAATTAACATATATTGATTTGTGGCGGCGTACAATTAAAAGCATCATCATATCATCATCACCACCAGATTCTTCATCCTAGCTTGCATGACATGTGTGTATGTATACAAATGTGGTGTTGGGATTAGTTAGGCCAGGCCACCAGTTTGCTTGCATACTCCAAGTGGACAGCCATTGTTTATGTTGGAAGCACCTTCCATGCATATATGTTGATCCTCCTTACAAGTTAATGTGTCATAGTGCATGATAGTTATTGCCATTATTAGTTAATTGATTTGTGGGGTTTAATTAAGATATTAGATTTGTAATCCCTCAAATCTTATGCTTGATTTAGTTTAGGAAACCTTTGAATTTTCAACAATATCCATTTTACTCGAAAATTATTAAATGTATCTTAGTGCATTCTCATTGACTACTTTTCTAGAATTTTTGTGAAAATTTTTCATAACTTTTAATTTTGCTGAACAGAATGAGAGAGGAGAGAACATAGAGCTTAGAGAGGGGGAGGTTGTTTTTTAAGGAAGGATTTGTTGGCACTTTACTGCGTGGGCATGATAGGTTACGGTGATCGACAAGGAAAAAACAAGTTGGAATGTTGACATTCTTAGAGACATCTTCAATAAAGAAAACATGGCACATATTATGAGTATTCATATACGACTATACCTATTAAGGATCTGCAGACAAACTCATTTGGAGCAGGGAAGAAAGAAGTATATACTAGAGCTAACAATAACCATTCTTGAGCCACAAGATTTGGATTCATCTTACGTGATTCTCATGGTTATTTTGTCTCGACTTTAGAAAAATATCTGAAATGATTTCATCAAGCTAAGATGACTGAAGCGATTGGGGTACATGAAGCTCTTAAATGGCTCAAGAGTTTAGGAGTTAAAGAAGTCTAGATAGAATCAGATGCATTGTTGGTTACTGACGACATTAGAAGCGAAGGTTGTTGCACATCTTTTGATCTCATAATTGAATATACTAGAGTCCTAGCTAATGATTTTCATAATTTTAACTTTGTATTTGCTAAATAGTCCGCGAATAGAGTTGCACATTTACTTCTTAGGGAAATTGCGCAGATTGTAAGGAGTGGCCCTTCAGCTTATCTTATTGATGTACTTTGTTCTCATTTGAATTAATTGCATTTCCTTAAAAAAAAAATATATATATATATAAAGCAAAAAGTATTATATATGTGCAAGTGCCGAATTGACTCGATCACATGCCACATTAAACATTGATCCTGGTATAAATAATAACCAGTTCGAGCGTTTGGTGTAAATCCGACCTTAGCTCAGTTGGTAGAGCGGAGGACTGTAGTGAGTGCCGTAATCCTTAGGTCGCTGGTTCGAATCCGGCAGGTCGGATTGTCTTTTTGTCTATATTTTCGTTCATCCTTAACACACAGGGAAAAAAACAACAACATTCGCCGTTGCCGGGGATCGAACCCGGGTCACCCGCGTGACAGGCGGGAATACTCACCACTATACTACAACGACTTTTGCTATTGCTCTTGAAAATTTAGTAAATAACATATACGGAGTATAAGGTATAAGGTATAAGGTATCACTATAGAATCACATCCGGCATCATTAAGACATTAACCTGAGTACCTGACCCATACAAATGATACTGGGTGGCATGGTGATATGCCAACTAGTGACCACCCACATCTTTTTTTTTTTCAACTGAAAAAAGTTACAAAAAAAACTTACCACAAAAATTTCACCATTAATCTTGCACTTAGGGAGTCTAACTCCTATTAGATATCTTAATTTTATTGAAAAATAGAAAGTGGATTTTTTTATGAATCAATTAAATTATGGTTGAAAAAAATTGTTAGGCATTCCAATAGGTGCCTAGGAGGCCTAGGCGGTCCGCGCCGTTTAGACCACCGATTATGGTGATACGCTAGGCGGCCGATCAGCGCCTAGTGTCTAATCGGTGTCTAGGCAAAATTTTTACAACACTGATTAAAACATACCAGATTGATTAAAATTGATAATAAATGTAATATTTTTTTAAAGGAATTAAAGCGCACATCACATCCACCTTGTTTTTGTAACTTAGCTTGAGATTAATTCTTGCTTCTAGCGGTAACATGGAAGTTTAATTCTTGCAACAAATATTGAATAATTGAATTTGGGTTGTGCTCTTTGTGTACATTAATATTTTTTTGAAGGAGATTAGACTCAAAAGACATTCTTTAATGATTTTAATTGACACCATCCACAATAATGCAGTACAATGACAGGAAGAATTGATAAAAGATAATTCTTAAAAAATTCTATCTCCAAATGCCAACACATACAACATTCGCCCATTTAAGACTCCCTCCCTCTGTCCAAACACCACACATGATTTCATTTACCTTTAATTTCCCCATACCCCCACCCCACTATAGAATACTCTTCTTCCAACCTTCAATTTTTTTGCCTAAACCCGTACGTCACACAACATATAATCTCACGTCATTCGTAATTAAGAAAAAAATAACCACCCATCCAAATTCCAAAACCCAAACCTACTATCTATCTAGCTATTCTTGAAGTAGAAGAGAGTGGAAACTAAGGCCCGGCCCCTTTGCTTGAAGTGTTAGGCAGGTAAGTTTGTTATTTTCAATTAGGCACATGATATATAATTAAGTGGCAGTTGAAGAAAACAAATTAAATACAAAAGTTGGAGTCTTGCAGTGAAAGCTTCAACGAACCTCTCCACTTATGATATGATGAAACATTTGAATTTGTTTATTTCATGAAAGAGGAAGTTGACTAGGTATATATATATCATATATGTATTCTTAAGGCGTGTTTGTTTGGGGTGTGAAATGGATCATGCCGTAGACTGTTATTTCCTGGCTGCCTACGCAACCTGACTCACTTTCCAAACAACCACTGCGGGCACCCATAAAATCTTCTCATCTCATCTCCTCCGCCCTCCATATATTAATTTCTGGTGATCTCAGAATTGAAGAAGCTGGAAAAAGGGGATGGAAAACCCAAAGCTGGTAACCATATTTTCTTTCATCTTCATCTTAATTATATATATATATATATATATATATATATATATATATATATATATATATATATATATATATATATATATCGATGCCATATATATATGTTTTATATTAAAGTTGTTATTTTTAATTTCTGATTTTGCAGGAGAAAATATCAGTTCTTGATGATGAACACACAAAGCCTGCAGATAGCTTTGTTGTGGACATGGAACGCTTCTCTAATCTCTTGGAGAGAGACGTGCCAGCAAATTCAAGAATTAAGGTAACTTATAATATAATATAATACACTGTTTGATAAGATTCGAATGTAAACTCGATCACGAAAATTCAAGTTTTATGGGTGGTCAAGATGCTTATAAGATAGATAGATATTCACATGATACTTTTAACATATAGTAATCATCAAAATGAGATTTTTTATTGGATAAAAGACTATAAAGACTTGGTTTTTATTCAAATTCCTATTTTAAGAAGTTGCAGAGAAGCCTTTCAAGAAAAGGATCAGTAAGAAGCAGCGAGAGGAAACCCAATCCAAATGCAGCAAATGAGAATCCCATTGCAACTTCACCAAGAGGTGAACTTTTCATTCTCAATCACTTTTTTACAGTATTTTTTTACGACCTGATTTCGAAATATTTTTTATCAATAAAAATGTTTTAACTAAGTTGCTGGGTTGAGATATTCAACATTTAAAAACTAATTATTCCAAATGCTAATTCACCACCGCTAGATGTGTGCCACGTCGTAGGTGGTTAAACATAGAAAAACAACATAAAAAATCAGTGAGAAGCTCTAAGGACAAAGGACAAATGAAGGGTTAGTTTAGACTAAGTATTTGTCATGTGATGTGGGCTTATTAGATGATCAACATTACAATTAGCAAGCCACTGAACATTATTGACTTGGCCGGTTTTTACATCCACCTTGTATAAATAATGAGTATTAAGTTGTATATAGTTCAAAAATCTTTCCTTTTCTTCTAATAATAGCATAAAGGACAATGACACTTCTAATTGAGTTAGTAAGATAATTAATTGGCTTGAAAAATTACAAGATATCAAATTTGATTTTTTGAGAAAATTGCATATTGATTTTCTCAATTTGAATTGGTGCAGACCTTCTCATAAATCAAAGCATAAAGGGTAGTTGTTAAATTTTGACTAATGTCACTCTTCTTAATAGTTGTAGTTTTTAAAAAGTTTTTGTAGGTGTGATTAAGAAAAAGAAAATGAGAGGAAAGGAAAAAAAATAATTTTTTTTAAATAAATAAAAAAATTACGTGCAGCTGCACGCGCCCGACTAGGCGCAAGATTGGTGCCTCACACAAGGCAACTTTAATTGTTGCATTCTTGATGGGGCCCATAGATCTACAAAAACCAAACTCTTTCTGCAAAGACTGACCCATTTCTTTCTCTCTCCTCCACATAAGAATTGCTTCCTCAAAAACCATCCCAAATTTTGTTAGATATTGCATATGTTCGGTATGTTCTACATTAGCATATATTATCTTTATTTTCATTTCTAACATGAATGATCAGAATATGTGCACAATTTAATACAAAACCCATTGCCGTAAGTACAAAAGCGTTATGATATGAGAATTATTAGGACACTAAGTTGGAGAAAAGGGCCCAGAAACATAGGTTGGAATCTCACGCACTTAGCAAAACACACTGATACCTTTTTTTTGTTTCCAATCAAAAGGTTAAACTAACCTAGGATTTATACGTGTTCTGTCTGGAATATTACTTAAAAATGCAGCTGCGCCATTACATGGGGCAAGCACGCCTGAAAAGCTAACGGTAGTGACGATGGGGGCCACCGATAACTCCCCTCCCCAACCCCATAATCAGATAACCATCATGGCGGGCGGCGCCACCCCTGCCGAAAGCAAACTGGGTGGGCGCCGGTTTAGCTTCAGAAGGCCTTCTTCCTCGCCTTCTTGGACCATTGATCCTAGAAGAATCCTTCTCTTCTTTGCCACCCTGTAAGTTCATCACTTCATAATGGCATAAGAAATGATGGTTAATGGGAACTGGATAATAAAGTGAATAAGTGATAAGCTTTCTCATTCATGGCAGGTCTAGCATGGGAACAATGTTACTCATATATTTTACATTATCCATGGGAAACCTCAATGCAGATGAAAGTGTTCTTAATTAAGACGACTATGCTGTCATACTCATCAACCGCTGTATATTAAAGCCTCCATAAGCTATAGCTAGTAACGAAGGCGCTAACAGTCAGCGCCACGTTTCAGTGACAGGATACTGGACTCAGTCCTCCCAGCCACCGCCCAACACTGTGCTTTGTGTTGACACCGTGGATTCATTCTGCAAGGGCGGTGGTGGGAGGCAGGTGCAAAAAGGCGAGGGAAAGAAGATAATGGAAAGTGGAGTAGGTAGGAATGAACTAGGAAGCTAAACATCACTCTCTTTTCAGGCTACCTTTTGTTGTGTGATCTTTTAGGAGAAGACAAGAATGGAAGCCACTATGACAAAGATAGGGAATCTTAGATTATATTAGTGTGAAAGATGAGAAACACATGATGTGCATACCTGTTTGTTTTAGTAGCTTATTGGAGATCCACTTTGTCATCTTTTTCTCTCTTCTCCCTTTTTCAGTCCTATCTTTTTTGTTGTCTCTGTAGCCCATTACCAACAAAAAGAATCATGATCAACACAAAGTAGATGTCTGTCTTGGCACCTTTCAACTTTAACTGGCCTGGCCATCTAGCATTCCTGTTTGACAGAATAATGGCGATATGGCACGCAAGAGAATATTCATAATAAATATTTCCACAATTATTCGAAAGCATTGCTAGAAAAAAAGAAAAAGAGTATAATATCACATAGGATATTCAAAACTTTAAGTACATATATGCTCTTTAGAAGGGTATCGATTTACACAATGTCTATATACAGTAGCATTAGAATTTGAACTTCTTGATGAGTCGAGTTCAGGAAACTTTCCTGGTTTTTTTATTTATTATCTACCCGAATGTGACTTCATTTCTTGTATGGTTCTCATAATTTGAGCACGAAACATGTAATCCGAGATTGTTTGAGAAGAACTTAGTAGAGCTTAGAAATTCTTGGCATTGAGCACCGATTCTTTCTGTCATGATAAAGCCTTAGCACAACTGCTGCGGTTTCTTCAATTGCTTTCCCAGTTACTTCTGCAATCAAAAGCAATATGTGATAAAATAGGAGCCAAGAAATCAATACCATAATATATAAAGGCAATTAAGTTACCTATGACTGGCCAAATAGGATTCTGAGCAAAGATCTTCCCAGCGAATTCCAGTTCTCCTTTGACATAATCCATTTCAGAATAGTTGCTTCTTAAATCGTCACCAAAACCCAAGCTCTTTGCTCTTGCTCTTCTGATCGTTTGCAGGACAACGTGATTTATAGTGAGAGCAAAAACCTTCTCTGGATCAACTTCAAAAAGAGTCCTGGGCAACGCTACGCCCATCACAATTGGTACATTTGCCACTTTGTAGCCCTTCTGGGCTAGATATATAGACAGTGGTGTTTTCCCAGTGCGGGAAACACCAGCAAGAACGAGATCAGCACTATGCAGGTTCTTAGGCAAGGCCCCATCGTCTTGCTTTATCGTGAACTCAATTGCTTCAATTCTTTTGAAGTATTCCTCACCGAGAGAACTACTCCTGCCAGGAGCCCATCGGGAGAGGCCAGAAGGCGAAACACCTAAATGGGATGCAACCGCCTCAGTAATTGGGCTCAATATATCAGTGGATGGCACACCCCAAAGGTTGCATGCTTGTCTGGCTGACTCAGCCATGGAAGGGTCAGCTAGAGTGTAGACGACCATCGCTCCTTCTCTGGCTGCTTGCTTTATCACCTCCATTAACCGCTCAAGATCATCAATCTTAGGAGGTATATGTTCACAACATGAGACCATGTCAAGATAAGCAATAAAGCAACTAGAACAGTGAATCAAATTCAGGCATAACTAACAAGTTCTTGAAAAGATTATATATATGAGCATCATAACCTCTAAATCTCTATGACTTTATCATCATAGTTTTCAATAATGCTATGTTTCAAAGCCCCCACAAAACATTTTTAAAAAAAATCATGGAACACATACAATCTCCTCCATGGGAACATATCAACCTCTACAAAATCGGATTCATCGAATTTATAATGTATTAGTAGCCCATTTTAATGTATAAACATTGCTTTGTGAATAAACCGCTCTTGTTGAAAGTCAAAACCTTGTGAGTACCAAATCATCAGCCTTGATTGGGTTACTCCTACAATATTACATCCTGGATATTATGGTGTGCTCAATTAAGTTCTTGCTACAGCCTACAAGTTACAGAATTGGGGCGTAATTGCAACTAATTAAACTATAAGGACGAAATTGCGAATTCCTTAAAACATCAAGGACTAGGGGCATAGTTTTCTCCAAAATATCTACGAAAAATATCATGCAGCCTAGCCTATTGCTTAACTGAGAACTGAAAAGACAAACTTACCCCGGAGAACAAGTGGGTATTCACGGGGCAAACCCGATCCACCAAGCAATACTCAAACTGCCCCAACGCCGCGTTAACGGCATGCTCCAACGTCCAACCGGTCCCGTCAGAAACCATGTATATTGCCTTTCCCCAATTAACGTCCGTTTCGTTCACTCCGTCACTCTCCTTCGCCGGAGATTCCGGCACCGCGCCCACTTCACTATCCTCGACATTCCGGCCAGGAGAATCGAGCCTCGATTTTGTTCCAACGCCGTCCTTGAAAGCCAGACGATCAAGTTTCAGGCCGGACCGGACGGAGCGAGCTCTGGACCACCGGTTTAATTGAGGGCTGGTTTTTATTCTTCGAGGCGGCGGCGTCTCAGCCGGAGCCGTACAATTAATTGGCGGGGAAGGATTGGCCTTGGGTTCGAGGAGACACCTCGACGTTGACTTTTGACGGAGATTTGGGAGGTTTAAGGTTGAGGAGGAACATATCATCGTGTCTCTTCGCTTTTGCTCTTTTCGTTTCTTTTCTGTTGTAGGATGTGGGAAAATGGAATCTTGGGAAGAGCTTCCAATTCAATCCAAATTGTTAATTTTAAATATACGAATTTTATTTATTAATACTTTATCTATCTCATTTTATATATTTAGTTGGATTAATAAGACTTAACTTTGAGCAGAAAATAACTTGTGGGGCGAACTTCGGCGGCGTCAGTGTGGGAATTATGTCTAAAGTGGACAGATCTCTTGTGCGTACCGACATTTGACCTTGTCTACTAACCTATTGAGTCACCGTGATTTACATCCTCCCACATGCTCTATCTGGTCAGAGTGTGGGGGGTCTTTAAGGTTGGGGATTCAGCCTTTGGGGTAAGAAAATAACTTGTAGAGCTTCATCTTCTTTCTTTCAACCAAAAAAAAAAAAGAAAAATAATAAGGCTTAATTTTCAATATATAAAATTTACATATTTTAAAAATATATTAAATGTACTATTAAATACCCAAAAAATTAAATTTAAAAATGATAATGAAAAAAAAAAAAAAGCAATAAAGAAAAACTTGATTGGACAAATAAACAGCAAAACAGATAAAATGTACACCTTCCGTCTCATTTTAGGTCACTGATTCGGTTAACGAGGCTTGAGTGTAGTTAATTTTAATTCAATTTTTCATAATATTAAATTTACTATTAGTATACGAAATTTATGTATTTAGAAACTACACTAAAAATACTGTTAAACACAAAAACTTAAATTTAAAAATAAGTAAAAACTACTAAAAAAATATATACAAATAAAAAAGAGTTGATTTGACTAATGAACAGTAAATAGGACATATAATGAGGCATTGGGAGTAATAGGTAATGTATTATATATTAAATAAATAAGTCAAAGATTTTGTGATCGAGCGACATAACTGTGACTCTCTAAATAAGAAGGTTCAGTAGTTTGAGAAAATATGTATAGATAGATCCTACATAAATCCAAGGAGCTCCGCAACTTGCATGTGGAAAAAGGAGTGTCAAAACCTCATCACAAGAAGAACCAATGACTTGACTTGCATATGGATTGCCCACGTCTCTATAATTTCTGACATACTGTAATAACAAAGTTTCATATATAATTTCTTTCCGGTCCTGATCGAATTGTGTTTTATTACAGGTGGTTGAGTACGTACACTCTAATGAGTTGATACAAGAAACCTGGGAAGCCCTACTTTGTAGCCGAAGTTCTTGACGTCTTCTTGCACTTGTTGTCTGAACTCTCCAAACGTAAATGTTCTGTACACAGACGGCTGAGAACAGCTCTGAATTGTCGTGTCGTAGGATGGACACAAGAAAAAAGCAGCCGAGAATCTCTCCTTCGTTTCATGGGCAACAACCCGGTGTTCAACACTCTTGTAAACCCCATTACTCCATGCCTGCATCAAACAAAAACACTCCCATTAGGACCAACCCAACCAAATTAGGCAAACCGTGATAACCATAAGGTTACAAATTCGCCTCTCAACTGATCGCTACCAGTTATAGGTAACCTAAGCTGATTTACTCTAAAGTGATCGAAAAGTTCTAGTAGTGTGCTTATATATATATATACCTGAAATAGATCTCCAATGTTTATGACTAGTGCCTCGGGGTTGGGTTTGACGGAGATCCATTTGCCGTCTTTCACGAGTTGCAACCCTCCGATCTGATCTTGGTGTAATATGGTGAGGAAGTCGCTGTCGGTGTGCGGCATCAGTCCGAAGATGTTGTCATGAATCCGGCACGGCGGATACCTATTCATTCGAACATAGCAAGTGGTTGGCAAACATGTTTCCTCGAAATATGTGGATTTGTGCCCCAGTTTCTCTGCCAAGATTCTTGCCAACCTCTGTGCTAGATCAGACAACGATGTTGCAAACTCATCCATCGTCGAGCTGAAATGTTTAAACATACAATCAATTACCATTATCCTAATTAACAACATTATATATATATTAATCTATACCCATCATCTCAATATCTCTATATATATAATATTTTATAATGAAATATATATAATTCGTCACAGACTCAAAGTACATATTAAATAAATAGATTCAGTAAAAGTAACTTAAAATTAAAAGTAAAATCTTGTATCATACAGCTGGTGTGAATTTGACACGTATCAAAGATATCGTGTTTTTTCCAAAATGCCAATACTATCAGTCCATCATATCAACAAAAGTTGTTCATGAATCATGATCAATTTCAAATTAAAGGTACACACATCCTATCCTATATATCCTTTTTTTGTTCCTGCAAATTTGAAGACACATACTTCAATTCCCGGCCATGTTCCATGTACGTCGTACTCTGATCTTCAATTATCTTAAATTGACAAGAAAACATAATCTAGTAATGAAGCACGCCACAAAATTTCATAAGTTACTTCGCTTTCCAACTTTGAATCTTCCTAGTTGTCCAGGGGCCTAGCTAGCTATTAGGCCTAACGTGGTGATGCCCACCCTACTGCTTGTCCAATTAAGTCAAGGTTTCAGCAAGAGATTGCCTGGATGCCTTGCAATTTTCAATCCAAATTACTATTCTAATCAATGTTCCGGACAGGATAATGTTTTGATTCTTTTTATTTTAAGAAAAGGATAATGTTTTGATTCTAAGACACATCAATTGCACAACAAAATATAACACTACCGGAGACAATCCTAGCCAATTCAAATTGATCGGATAGTTAATTTAATTAGAAACTATAAAGTTTCAAGTTTAACTTTTTGTGTGAGTTGTTTATTGACATTCTTGATTTGAACTCATTAGTTATAGAAAATGTAGATTCGTTATTTGACACTGATAACTACGACATAAATACGATAATATATGATATTATTTTTTAAAATACTTTTTCTATTCATCTCGTGCTTTACTGTTATTACATTTTTTATTGAGATATCTGTAAACCTACACCAATAGCTGTTGTTACTATCCAACCATATATATATATATATATATATATATATATATATATATATATATATGAATTCTATTAATGTACTCCTAAATTTTACTCCCTCAAAATTACTCTTTAATATGGCGGACACTGATAGGTCATTTTTTTATATAGTCCCCTGTAAGTGTGTCTATATAAAAAAAAAAAATTGAGTGTGAAAGTAAAAATTGAAAGTAAAAAGTACATGCAATATTTTTCAACATATTTATCGTTGGATAGTAACAATAGCTATTGGTGGGGTGTGGTTTGAGATATTATATTCTACATCCATCACTCAATCAACTTGTCTAAACTTACCATCGTGTATATATATTTTTTATTCTTTGATTATCCGTAGATAATAAATTAATCAATTAGAATTACTTGTATATTAAATATCAATGAAACTTTATTTAATTTACAAGTGACTTAGCAGTTAGCTTCATCATAATTTTTTCTTTAACATTTTAATTAATAATTCAATTAAGTGTTAGTATATATCTGATCTCCACAAATTATTGTATCAAAATAACAAAGATGAACCATATAACATTTGAATTTTATTAATATCAAAATTAACTAAATTAGTATGTTGTTACCCTTGAGTAATTTGCACTCATATTTGACTCATAGTGTATCATCACCTAAAACATATACTATACACACACAAAATTACCGGCATGTTCACGGCTGAGAATAATTAGGAACATAAACTGATTGGATATTCAAGAAAATTATATTGGTCTAACTTGTACTCCAACCCTATAAAATTATAGGGTAATTTGTATCCTGAGTCCCAAGGGTGCTAATGTTGTCGGAGTTCAAAGTTGCAATATACGGAGTATTAATTAGTTAACGTTGTACGTAGAATTTGGTAAGCAAACGATTATTGTAATGAAACTTAGTACGTACCTGAGGTTGTTTAGGCGGCAAACGGAGCCGCCGGAGATATCGCTTAACGGCACGTGAAAAGCTTCCGACCAAGAGAGTTGGCGGAGGCAGGTGGCGGAGGGAGCCCCCCAGCGGTAACTCCCGGTGGAGAAGTTGAGGTTCCGGTCCTCCATCTTCTCGTGGAAAGGCTTCCTGAAAAGCTTCACTTGTTCTGATCTCATCTTCTCCAGAATCTCGCGGGAAACCCCATGGTTAACCACCTGGAAAAACCCCCACTCTCGCGAAGCTCTAGCCATCTTTCTCTTGCACTCCTCCCTGCCGAATTCTCCTCGGTTCAGCTCGGAAAGGTCTATCAATGGCAGCTCCCGCTCCTCCACGACGTCGAAAACCTCGTACCCGGCTTTGTTCAGTAGTTGCGCGTCGCGGAAAAGGTTCTTGTATGTCGCCTCAAATGGCGGATCAACAGCTGACGATTCTCCCATGATTGCAGGCTACAATTCAAGTATATATGTAGATCACTACAGGCTATAGACTACTTGAGAATCATAAAGCTAAGGAAAGGTGGTGGAAATTAAACTAGCTGATCATTATTATCATTAGTGCAACACGACTAGTATATATAGCTAGATACCTAGCTAGGACTCTAGGTAATCTAGCGAAGAAACATGGTTAATAAATTTTTATTTTTATTTTCTATTTTCTTTTTTATCAGATGAAAATAAGGAATAACTATATAAGGGTGTACACCAGATAAATCACATTTCTACGTAATAGCTTGCAAAACATGATTAATTCAAAATTATAGGGTGTGGATAGGGTATTTGGCAAATAGCTATTAGTGGGTTTGATGACTAGCTGATAGTATTAGCTGGTCGTAGAAAAATGTTTGATAAATGAGTTGTTAACTAATAAATGATTATATGCAAAATGATTTTTAAGGATACAATTTGTTTTCTCAAAAAGCTTATCGAAAAAACTGTTTTGAACCGTTTTTTGAATTTTATCATTTTGGAACAATAAGCTGTTACAAAAAGCTAATTAACCAAACACTTATATTGGTTGTTTAACCAAGTCAAACAGTTAATTGTGGTCAAACAAGCTAAATTGACTGATAAGCTAACTATGTTACCAAAAATGGCCTATATATGTGTTGCCAATCATCATGAGGAGTAAAAAAATCACACTAGAAAGACTTTGTGCAACGATACAAGAGATGTAAACTGCACTAAGAAAAC